GCGCTGTGCGCTGCGGGTTTTCACCCGCCAGTTCTTCGGGACATCATGGGATGCAGATACGCCTAGATCTCCGAGCAGCCTGGCGTGGGAGGCGGGAAAGCTCCCTGGGCAGCGCGAAGGGAGCCTGTGAGAGGCTGCAGCTCCACTGAGCCCCAGCCCTGGGCCGGGTGCTGTCACTAGCTAGTTCTGAGCTCTCCCTGCAGGTGGACCTGGAAACAGCGTCCGGGCCTGATGCTTTGTCAGACAGAGGCGGACTCTTGCCCTGTCCCAAATGCCATCAGGTTGTTCCCAACTTACTCCAGACCCGCCCCCTGCGCCCCCCAAACAAAAGGGAGCCTCTGAGTATGAATGATCAGGAGCTTCAGGTCCTCAGAAAACACTCGTGGCAAAGCATCAGCTTTCAAATGCAAGCCATCGTGTGTGCTGCGCTGTGCGGCCGCGCTCTGGGCGTTGACCTCCGGTGGTGTGCTTCCGCCTTCACACAGGACAAGCTGGCCAAGGAGGAGCACAACAGCGCCCTGAACCTTAACAAGATCAACATGCAGTGGAGAGCTGTCCTCCGGGAAATCAAGACCAGAGAACTTCACAAGGACATGGAGATCCTCAGCCAAACCTTTGAGCGAGTGATGGACTGCAAGGACAGTGTTATCAAGGTAGGCAGCCTCTTCAGGGAGCCCTCGAGTGTGGCTCATCCCCCACTGGAAGAATGGTCCTAGTCAGTTCGTTAACCAGCCAGCCTTGAGACCCTACAAGACAGGCGGTGGCCAAGCTAGCTTATTGGTTTTCAGTGAAATGAAAAATAGAACTTTGAGTTATAGTTTATCTCCCTCCTTACAAGAGCCGCTCTTCTTGGCCATCTGGGACCCCAACACAGTGCTATGCACTATCAGAGTTGTAAGACCCAGTTAATATCACCGAGTTCAACTTAGGCCCATATGTTTATTTCAGAGTCAGAAGGCTCAAGTCAAGAGGACTGACCTTGCCGAGGTCACAGAACTGATGGCCAAGAGCATGGGTTGCTCAATCTGGATTCAGTGTTTCATGTAACAAAAGTGTTTCACCACTTCTGTTGTTTTGTTTGGCCGCTTTGATTTAACCTCATTGGTCCTGAAAAGGGCTGGGAAGGCCTCCATACTAAACAGTTTTGGCTTTCTGGGCACTTGAGCCAGCCGTTTATGCTCGTGGGAGGCTCTTTTTCTTTTTTTTTTGGAACCAGGGTTTGCCAGGGAAGCGCTTGTTCCACTGAGCCATTTCCCCAGCCCCCTGGGAAGCTCTTGATTTCACACCATTATTCCTTCTAAGGGACTTCTCTGAAACCATTATTTCATTCTACTTTTTTATTGCTGTCTCCTGACTCCTCCATCTTTTCCATCTCAAACAAACAAATCCAAATAACAGCAGATATACACTGTCATCAGGCTATTCTTCTTTTAGAACATATGTGTTTCTATTGATGGTGTGAGCCTTGGCCAAAACAACAACAACAAAAAACCAGCACCAGACCCCAGAAAATGTAAGGGGATGGGTAAAGTCCTCAAATTTCAAAAACTCCCTTACACACTAGAAGTCCTCACCCCTCTAGTTACTCCTTATGGCACATGTGTGTTGTGTTGCTTGGGATTGAACCCAAGGAGCTCTGAGCTCCATCCCCAGCCCGTGTGTGTGTGTGTGTGTGTGTGTGTGTGCACTGAGACACTGTAGGCCAAGGCGGCCTTGAGCTTGTGTGTCACCCACACTGGCCTCAGACTCACAGCAGTTCTGTGACTCAGCCTCCCAAGTGTGGAGGCTATAAGCATGCACCACAGCACCCAGTGACCTTACAGCTTTCTCCCAGCCTTACTGGGCATTAGCAGATACCTGATGAGGAGAGCCGGGGCGCTCACTAAGGGATGCCCAGCGGCTGGCTGCCTTTGCCCATGGTCCATTAGTTTTTTCCTGTTCCACAGCTGTGTGGCTTATGAATTATCCTTGTCCTAGATAAACAATATGCTTTGGTATTAAGCACACCCAGGGTCATCCCTGGATAACAGACTACACATGTCCACACAAAGACACCAGTGGTCCCTGCTTGCTCCCCACTTAGCTTCACACCAAACACCTGATCTCCACTCTTCTCTAGACATTTTACTAGGACAGGTGGCCAGACTGTTACCTGCCTTTCCCCACGGTCTCCCTACTGCCTGGTGCCCTGGGACACCCTGCACCACACCCTACAATTCACACTCCCCTTTGGCCTCCAGGACACCTATCTGGCATCTCTTCCTCAGACACACACATGGGTTCCTCCTCTCTCCACACCCTGAACTTCCGCACTCCTCAGATTTCCGAGCCCAGCTGTCTCAGCCTCTGACCAGCTGTTTAGGACTCAGATATCTGACTCATTACAAAGGCTTTAGAGACTGCTCAGATGGGATGATGCCCAGGTGGTAACGCCCGTGTGGGTTTTCCTCTTGACTTCCAAATCCTGAATTCAAGCTTCCTAGGTGTCTATTTGGGGCTGCTGCACTGGACTCACAGCTGGACTGAGTTTTCCCTTCTCCAAATGCCCCTGTTCTCCATAATCCAGGCTTCCTTATGCTTTCCTATTGGGGTGGACTCATCCTCTTTGGTCTGCACCCCTGACCCCGTTCTCGAGTCCTGCACAGGTTTTCTCCACTGCCTGCTGTGGTTGAGACCTAGGCGTCGCCTTGCACTGCATCCGGACAGCCTTCATGCTCAGCTGCCTCTACATGATTCTCTGGGCAATCCAGGATTAGCTTTTTAAAGCAGAAATCTGATCCTGTCACTCCACTGCTCAAATCTCCTTAGGGATCCATCTCATTAACAGGAAACCAACCCGAACTCCGTGCTAGGAACACAACAGCCCTCCCGCTCTGACCCCCTTCTACCTTTCATGCAGCCAGTCTCGCTTTCCTTGGTCGTCTCATTTGCAGTGTATAGAATGAACCCATCGCTGGGTATGTGCTAAGCAAGCACCCCTGTCAATGGGCTACATCCCCAGCTGATTAAATTTTGATGCAGTCTCCTTAACTTGCCCAGGCTGGCCTTGAACTTGAATCTCCTACCTCAGCCTCAGTCTTGTTCCTGACCTACATCTTTTTTTTTTTTTCTTTTTGTATTTTGCAGGGAGGGGGGCGTCTACAGGGTGTTCAGGGTCTCACTACTAGATCAGACTGTAGTGATCCACCTATTTACAGCCTCCCAAGAGCTGGGATTACAGGCTCGCTCCACCACTCCCAATCTCAATTGCCCCTAGTCTCAATTGCCGTCTCAGTGCACCCTGGGGGTGGGGCCAGCATGGCAGGCCCGGGGATTCAACCCCCTGTCCCTGAGCCTGCTTGCAGGTGCTTTAATCCGCGAGCTATTTGGTCGGCCCCTGACCTATGTCTTGTCCAAGCTCTATTTTCTCTTAAATTTCCTTTTCGGGGGGCCAGGGATTTAACTCAGTGGCTTGACTCCTGCTTGGCAGGCCTGAGGTTCTGAGTTTGATTCCCTGCCCCCGCCAAAAAAGATGCATATGAATTCCCCCCCTTTTTTTTTCTTTGGTGGAACCGGGAATTGAACTCAGACCCTTGTGCTTACCAGGGAAGCACTTATTCTACTGAGCCATCTCCCCGGCCCCATGAATTCCCTTTTCTTTGCTTCCCATCTTCTGGCAAGCTTTCCTCCTTTCAGGGCTCACACATAACATTTCTTCGGTGAGCCTTACTCAGGGTTGCTAGTCAGGTGCAGCAGACATGCAGCCCTTTGCATCCATCACTAATCAGTCATCAGTCTCATAGCAACCTCCTTGTTGTAGCATGGTTTTCTGCTAATTTCGCATGGCCGTTCTTTCCTTCTAACCTACAAGGCCAAAGCTGGCTCTGAGCAGGGGCTCAAGGTCCCTGGAGCATGTGGACATTCAATGAATTGTTTTCATTTTAATTTGTTTGATTTTTTTTGAAATTAATCATTCACCATATTCAGACTTCAAAAGATAAAAAAAAAGCTTATTTAGAAAGTTTCTCTCCCCCTATTGCCTTCCAACCACAGTGCCCCTCACAATTCTAGTTTTGTAAAACTTTTTCACAGAAATGTTAGCATTATACATGACTCACATTTAGCCTCTCCTCTTAAAAAAATGGTATTGGACATGTTCTGCACTTTGCTTTTTCATTTAATAATACATCCTGGGGCCAGGGAGATGGCTCAGTGGAATAAGCGCTTCCCTAGCAAGCACAAAGGTCTGAGTTCAATCTCCAGTTCTGCAAAAAATAATAATAATAATAATAATAATAATAATAATAATATATCCTGAGGGCTGAGCATGGTGGTGTTCATCTGTAATCCTAATCCACTGGGAGGCTGACATGGGAGGATCTCAAATTCAAGCCCAGCCTGGGCAGGTTTTTGGTTTTTAATGTATTTGGTACAGAATCTCACTACACAGCTTGGACTTGTGGTAGCTTCTCCTGTTTTGAGCCTCCCCAGCGCTGGGATTACAGGTGTGTGCCACCACACCTGGATTTAGTCACCAGCTCAGCATACCCGGAGGCGGTGCCAGGGATCGAACCTGGATCCCTGCACTTGCCTAAGGAGGTGCTTAATCTGCTGAGCTATCTCACTGGCCTGGGCAAATCTACAGTAGATACAGATATCTAGATCTGTCTATCTAAATATATTTGTGTATGTGTGGTACTAAAAGTTGAACCCAGGTCCTTCACACTGAACTACATCTCTGGCTTTCTTATTTTGAGACAGCATCTCCTTAAGTTACTAACTTGCCTGGGCTGGGTTCACACTTGAGATCTTTCTGCCTCAGCCTCTGAGAGGACTGAAACAATAGGCATGGACAACTGTATGTGGCCCCTCATTTTTTTAAAAAAGGCAAAGGATTTAGATGATCTAAAGAGAAACTAGAGTATTCATTTTTTAAATAATGCTACATATTAATCTATTACTGTAGTTGAACATATTACACTGTGCTCTGTATTTCTACTGGCAGCTGGATTTGAGAAACTTGGAGTTGTATTCTTCCATCAGGAAGCATGTAATATCTAGTTATCTTTTTATGATTTTGGTAGCTACAGATGGTCAGTGAATTAGGGGTTGCAAAATGCTGATTTTCTAACAGTATTGGTCATTTTTAAAGTATTAATTCAAGTAATCCTATGAATAAATGCTTCCTTCACTTGCCACTCAGTTACCTGGAGGTGTCATGTACGTAGGAAAGGCAAAAGAGACATCTGATTCTCTTATCTGTATTTATTAGTTAAAAGAACTGGTTACTAAGCAAGGGTAACTTTTTTTTTTTTTTCCATAACCCGGGGATTGAACTCAGGCCCTTGCGCTTGCCAGGGAAGCGCTTATTCCACTGAGCCATCTCCCTGCCCAAGGGTAACTTTTTAAAGAGTACCTTTATAAACTCATAACCAAACATTTAATGTTTTTCAATTTCATTTTTGAGACAGGGTCTGGCTAGGTAGGGCAGGCTGGCTTTGAACTAATGTCAGTCTGTTTGTCTCAGCCTCCTGAGTGCTGTGATTACTGACATGTGCCACCATGCCTGGCTATTTTTCAATTTTCAATCCAGTGCAATTTTTTTTTTTTTTTTTTGATACAGGGTCTCACTGTGTGGCTCAGTGGATTCACAATCTTTCTGCTTTGAATTCACCATCTTTGTGCCTCAGCCTCCAGCTCTTATCTTTACTGATGCTCAAATCCTCCTCTCTTGAGGGGGCAGGCAGTGGAAGTGGTCCAGACATCTGTTGTTCCTAACAAGCCACCCCTAAGTTAGAGTGTGAACAACACTTATTATCTCTCCTGATTCCCTGGGTGGACTGGGCTCCGAGGTCCTGCAGGCGAGCTTTTAGGTAGGTGCCGTTTGGGCTGAAGTCTCCTAGGCCTGATGGGGCTGGATGTCCTCCATGGCCAGCATTTTGGCAGCTAGGCTACAGACTGTTTCCACGTGGCCCCTCCAGGCGTATTGGGCTTCTCACAGCACGATGGCTGGGTTCCTGGGAGCACCCCAAGAACAAGAATTTCAGGTCACGTCTGGGCTCTTCTTGAACCTGGCACAGTACCAATTCTACTTTTTTTGTTTGTTTGTTTATTTTTCAATACCAGGGATTGAACTCAGGATCATCAGCTTGCCAGGCAGATGGTTGTGCCACAGAGCTGTCTCCCAGCTCCTAACTCCAGTTTGTTTGTTTGTTTGTTTGTTTGTTTGTGTCAGGGATTGAACTGAGGATCTTGTACTTGCCAGGCAGTTACTTATGCCACTGAGCTATATCCCCAGCCCTCCAGTATTTTTTTTTTTTTTTAAGACAGGGTCTTGCTTTGTAGCCCAGGTTGGCCTCAAACTCAGTGGTCCTCCTGCCTCAGCCTCCTGGATTCTGGGATTATAGGCATGTGCCACCATATCTGGTGCTTCCACCATTTTTTTTTTTTACCATTTTTTATTAATGTAAATTCAAGATGGAAAAAGAAACAAACATGCATGTTTGTGTGTTGCTCGGGACTAAACTTGAGCCCATGGCCTTGCGCACACTAGACCAGTACTGTGCCATGGGGCTACTTGCCCAACCCTGACGTTGCCCAGGCTGGCCTCAAACTTGCGTTCCTCCTGTCACACACCCAAGTCGCTGGGGTCACCGAGGCGCACCTCCACACCTGGCTCTGAGTCACTACTTTTTGATGGGGACTGGCAAGATCATATTACAAAAATTGTCAGGTGGGAGATAATGTAGCTACCTTTGCAAAACGTAATCTACTACAGTGAGTCACTTCATGGTGGTTCCCAGATCTGACATGATTTTGTTAGTCTTTGATGGCTTCTTTGTTACCTTATAAGACAAAAAATACGAGGTTTAACTTACTTTCTTCCTCAAAGCAGCCATTTCTCCAAGAACCTGGTTCCTTGGGGGCTCCATCCATGTCTGCTGTGTACAGGCTGCCTTTGAGGGGCACCTTCCTGACACTCTTGTGTAACACTGCGGAGTGTATGCAGAGCCAGCGCTCCTCAGGCAGGCTTAGCGCAGACCTGAGGTGGCACTGGCTGAGCACATAGACGCCGCCCAGCCAGGGCTAACTCCATTTCCTGCCCAGTCTTTAGCTAAGGACCTGTCTGAGGCTGAGGAGCAGCACGCCCACGCCCTGCGTAGTCACCTGCACAATGTTGACCAGCTCTTAGCCCTGCAGAGGCGCCGGCTCGGCCTCCTAGAAGAAAGTTACGACATGGAGCTGGAGGGCCTAACCACAGAGTTTGAGACGGAAAGGTATGGGGGTTGAGAAAAAAGGGAGGACCGAATCTGAGAACCCAGTCTCTGTGAAGGACTGCCTGGAGGCAGGGGGCCCGGGACCAGACACCCCACTTGGTTATGACCTGAGCCCTACAGAACACAGCCTGAGTTTCCTGCAGATGAACTCAGGTTTAGCCTGCAGCTTTGGCCTCCCTCACCAGGCCCGGGTCTGTATGCCTTTGCCACCTACTTTCACCTATGAAACCTGAGCTGGCAGTGCAGGTAAACTGGTCCTCCTAAATTTCTGTATGATCTGAATGTATCCTCTTTAAATATCAAAAGCCAGTTTGTGGTGCATGGTTAGAATCCCCACACTCTAGGAAGCTGAGACAGGAGGATCACAAGTTCAAGTCCAGGGGCTGGAGAGATGGCTCAGTGGTCTAAAGCACCTACTTGAAACAAGCTTGGCAATGCACAGGGACCGCGGTTCAATCCCCCAGCACCACATGCCAGCCAGCCCGCCCCCTGGTGGGCTGAGCTGGCCACACACACACACACACACACACACACAAATAAGTAAATAAATATCCTTGGGCATTTAGCAACTTAGCAAGATAGGATCTCAAAATTTAAAAATTGGGGCCGGGGAGATGGCTCAGTGGAATAAGCGCTTCCCTGGCAAGTGCAAGGGCCTGAATTCAATCCCCGGTTCTGAAAAAAAATAAATAAAAATTAAAAAAGGTTGGGACTATAGCTCAGTGCATGGGCCCTCGTACTGAAAAAAATAATTCTATTCATTCCTTCTGGCCCTGAAACAACAGAGCCCACTTCCCTCCATCCCATTAGTCCTCCCAAGGTGGCACACACACGTGGTCTTATTATAGCTTCCCAAGCCATTGCCACGGGCCCATTTGTTCCACCAGTCAGCAGGGACAGTTCTTGTCTCCGACAGAAAGACCATCACTGACCAGCATGACAAGGAGATTCGCTACCTGCAAGACGTCTTCATGGCCATGGAGCAGAGCTACACAGACTCTGAGTACGAGAGCAAGCTGGAGTTCCAGAGCCTGTGGGATGATCTCAAAAACAAGGTATGGAGGGAGAATGCAGGAGCAGGAGCTGGGTGAGGAGTGAGGGAAAACTGCCCAAGGCTAGAGGTGCCAGAGGAGAGCCCGAAACCAAGGGTCAGTAAAAGTTGGTGCCACTGCGGGTGCCCACACTGCTCTGTGCACTCTTGTGACAGTTGGTCAGCAGCCGATGTGGTGGTGCACACTCGTAATCCCCACACTCTAGGAGGCGGAGGCAGGGGCTGGGGACACCATTCAAGGCTCCCGCCTCCCGTCTCCAATACCACAAACAAGTGAACGAGGCTGTTCATGGAACTGAAGGGCGTGATGCATGACCGTAAGCATTTCATGTTTTGGGACATGTTCTAGAATTTAGAAGAGAAGCACTTTCTACGAATACAACTGGAGAATATAGTAGAAGATCTGTGGAAAAGGTTCCAGGATGCGCTCAAGAACTATACTGATGCCACGGAGGACAGGAAGATCGCCTTTGAGACACTGAAAGTGAAGGATGAGAAGAGCTCCGAAGAGATTGAAGCACAGATGAAAAAAATCCAGAAGCTGCAGGTTAGCACAGTCCATCGGGAATGCTGCTCCAGGCTGACCTGGGCTCAGCACCCACCTACGGAGGGGAGTCAGCAGCCTGGGGTCTCACCACCCTGTCCTGTGCGCCCTGTGCTCTGGTCCTTCCAGGAGGCCATAGCTGTTTCCAAAGGCAAGATCCTGCTGCACGGCCGCGAGAGTGAAGATCAGAACCAGTACGTCCGCAACGACAAGGAGTTGGTCCTGATACAGCTGCGGAAACTTAAGGCTCAGAGGACTCAAGCCAGGGGAAGAGCCCAAGAGAACTTAGTGAAACTCACCCAGGACAGTACTGCAACTCTGAAGGCACTCAGAAAGGTGGTTGAGAAGGTAACAAAGGGAGCGGGCAGGGCCAGTACCATCAGCCCAGCACCAGGGAGGCCACGGCAAGATGACTGCAAGTTTAAAGGGGAACTTAGCAAGACTGTCTCAGAAAAGAAGTATGGGATGGAGTGGGCATGGGGCTCGGTAACCTCCTGGGCTTGATCTCCAGAACCAGCAAATGAATAAATACATAAATAAGCAATGAGGCCGCAAGGGCAGGCAGAACAAAGCCAAAGGAACTAGTTTGAGGTAAAAAGGATTTGAGAAGGCAAGAGAGGTCTTTCTCTTCCTGCTTGCTTCCCACCTAAGTGGGTGCTTTGGATTAACTTTTTTTTTTTTTTTTTTTGGTGGTACTGGGGAATCAAACTCCAGACCTTGTGCTTTCCAGGCAGGTGCTTATGCTACTGAGCTGTCTCCCCAGCCCTGGATTAACTTTTGTACTCTACCCCTTACTTTTTTTTCTTGGCAGAACTATCCCTGGGGCTGGTGAGATGGCTCAGTGGTCTAAAGCACCTGCTTAGAACAAGCTTAGCAAAGCCCAGGGAACCACGGTTCAATCC